GGCGTAACGGCGTAACGGCGTCCTCCACCTTCTTGCGCGTCTTTCTTGCGCGCGTCCTTAGCGCCGCCTTGTAACGTAATCGGGCTGGAGGAGGGATGGCCCGCCCGGCCCGCGCTGGGGGTGGGGGTGGGGGCGGGGGCGGCGAGCAGCCCCCTCTGACAAAAGCGTCCCCGTGCTGCTCTCGCTGCGCTAGCTACGCTGGCTCAGGTCCGGAGCGCCGAGTGACCCCCGCGGAGTCCTCACTGCGTGCGGCCGGAGGAGTGTGTGCCCGTTGTTGTGAGTGTGTGTGTTTTTTGTCTGTCTGTCTGTCTGTCTGTCTGTCTGTCTGTCTGTCTGTCTGTCTGTCTGTCTGTCTGTCTGTCTGTCTGTCTGTCTGTCTGTCTGTCTGTCTGTCTGTCTGTCTGTGTCTGCAGTGAGCGCATCCCGGCCATGGACGTCAAGCACCTGCCGGCGGTGGAATAAAGGGTCAAAGAGTCGCAGCACACCGCTGCCTGCCCTCCAGGCCCTGCAGTGCCCCAGCCCCTGGCTGGCTGGCTGGCTGGCTGGCCTACCAAGCTCCTCCCCCCTTTTTATTCCCTCCGTCAAAAAGTTTGACGGTAAAGACTCGACCCAATAAAATCGCGTGCACAAAGCAAACCCTCGGTGAAGTAAAGTTGAGCGCGGCGCCTTGGTCTCGGAGTCCGTCTCGCGGGCCGGCCGCTTGCGAAGCATTGGCCGACAATACGCACCGGGCCGGCCGCGGCACGCCGGCCACGCCGGTGGCGAGTCGGTCCGACGGCAAAACGGCGAGCTGGCAAAACACACGTTGGCATATGAGATGAGCCGTGCGGGACGGCTCCGGGAAATCAAACAGCGCAGTGACTCCCGGAGGCGAGGGCCTTCGCGGAAGGGCTGGGGACGGACGTGGGACGCTCCGCTCGGCGGCGGCGCTCGGCGGGGCGGGGTCCTCCGGGTGGAAACGCGCGGCCCGGAGGCGGAAAGGACGGAGGGGGCGGCGATAAGGCCTCGGGGAACATAGGGGCGAAAAGAAGCCTCCCTTCCCCGCCACCGAAGCGGCGACGGAAAAAAGGAGCGGACCACGTGGGGGCGCCGCTAAATTATGTAGCCGAAAGAGGAGGCCGTGATGGCGGTCCCTCCGCGCCACCGCGGCGGTCAGCAGACGGCGAGTGGGGGGCTGTGACCGCCAGTGAACGTTTCACTCCGCGGCGGCGGGTTCGATTCCCCGCCTTTCTGGAACTCCTTTTTCCTGCTTCCAGGCTGGACGTCCTGTTCACGACGAGCAGGCGCTTCAATAAGGAGCCCGGCGTGCGCCCTGGGGAGGCGTTAAGTGAATTCCAGGAAGAGGTGGGCAGGGCTCCCGCAGGGCTTCCCGTCGGGCGGGGCTTCTGCTGCATGGCTGCTGCCGTGAGCCGACGATTCGGCGCCACGCCGTCAGCCCTGTCTGCGCCGAGGCCCGCGCTGTCAGCCCGCGTTCGTCAACGCCATTTTTCTTCCCCCGGCCCTTTGCCCGCCTGCGTGTGCGTCGTGCAGGTGGATTGGGTTCGCGCTCGTCTTCCTGGAGGCGCCTGGAGGCCGCGCCCCGGCAGCCCCAAGGGCAGCCCCAAGGGCAGCCCGGCCCCGCGGCGCGATGACTAGGGAATAGGGTGGCACTGCCTTCGCCTCGGCCTTCGCCGACACGGCCCGCGCGGCCTGCACTGCGAGGACCTTGTAGTACACGGCCACGGCAGTGCTGAGCGGGTCAAGGGGTCGCTGTGTCGAGCCCAGCGCTGTGGGTGGGGTGGCGCACGTGCAATATGCCAGTGTGTGCGTGCGCGTCGCCCGGCGTCGCCGAACGGAACGAGTAAGCCTTATCCGACAGGGGCGTCCAAATCACGCACACGCACTGCCAAATAAAATAGAAGTCGCTCCGCTCTCTCCGCGTCCCGGCGGATCGCCTCGTGTTTTGACGGCTGCTCCTGCGGGATCTGGGATCTGGTGCGGCCTGCTGCCGCGGCAGCGTGACTTCCCGGTGGCCGCACAGCGCCGCACAGCGATCTCGCGGGGAAAATCTCCAAGTCGCGCCTCGCCTCTTTTATTAAAGAGGCGTTACAGGCCGGCTGCCTCCTCCTCCTCTCCCGCCCCCCCTTCCGGCCCCGCCCCCTCGCTTGGCCGTGTACACTATACAGACCTTCGCAACCTACCGCTTTTTGTTGGACAGCACTTCGGGCCCTTCGGGTGATTTGTGGTGCTGTGCGAGGGATCGTGTTCGGGGATTTCGGCTTTCGCTCTCGCGGCCGAGCGGTGGCGGCCCGGCGGCCTGGCGGGGCGCGGAGGGCGTTGACGTGGGCGCTGGGGACGGTGTTGTGTTGACGGCAGGGTGCCGCGGGGCTGCCGGCCGGGCCATGGCCGGGCCGGCGCTGCTTGATGGATGTTGCTGAGTCCGAGCCCCCGGTCCCCTATCTGGCCTACTCGATGCCACGCTGCCCGATTCCGTCAGGGACGTCAGGGACCCTCGCAGGGCCAGTCCAGTGCTGGTCCAGTCCGGCCGCCTGTTGGGGCTGCCCCTCGGGCTGCCCGCTGGGACTTCATACATTACGCACCCGTCCCAATTCACTTTCCCCATCCCCGGGCAAAATGTGCCAAATCTGCATCGCTGCGCCGCGCACGTGGCAGAACGGAGGTAGTGTCGACGCCGCCGAACCCGAACCCGCCCCCTCCGCAGTTCGCTGCTCTTGCTGCTTGAGATGCGGGCCGTCTTCCAGATGCGTCTCCCGCACGTCGCTCGCCTCGCAGCACCGAGTCCATTTCGCCCCCTTTTGAATTGGTAAAGCAAAGTTGGTCTGTTTTACTTTTTCCGCGGGTCCGCGTCGTCGACTCCGGTCGGAGGTCCGCCCGGCCCGCGCGGCCCCGCCCCGTTCCTGTCCCGGCCTTGGCACACGGCGCCGAGGCACGCCGAGGCACGCCGAGGCCGGGGGGACCCGCCCTTCAGAATACGTTAGCGGCCACTCGCGACGGGACGCGACTCGCCGACGCCGTGCTCCAACCGCGCCGCTGGCCGCCGGAGTGGCCCGGGCATCTCGCAAGCGACGTATTTAATTTCCAAGCACGAGAGTGCAGCCGGTCCGTAGTCCGTTAGTTTATGAAATACGACCCGGGATATCAGACGGCGCCGGGCCGTGCCGGGCCGCGCCAGTCCCGGAGTCCCTCGGGCTGTTGTCGCGCTGGGCCGGCTCGTGCAGTCCCTGCAGCAGCACCGTCTTCGGTCCCAACTAACTTGTGCGCCACGGCCTCGGCCACGGCCGCGCGCCTCTATTTGTGAGATTGCTTCACGGCGTTCGCTGTTCGGGCTGTGCGCCCCCTTGTCGGTGCCCGGCGGCCTTGCCGGCCTTGCCTGCCGCCTTGCCCGGCGGGCGGGTCGCCGCGCCCCGCCAACTTGAAGCAGCAGCAGTTCGGGGCGGCCTTTAAGGGACGCTCGTTCGCGGCGGTGGCGGTCTTGGTGTCTGGCGGCGCGGCCCCGGTCCCACGGCTGGCTGGCGGAGCCGCCGCTCTTTTTGCGGGGATGTTGGCAGAGCGCAGCGCGCAGCCAGCCGCGGCCCAGCCGGTCCACCGCACTGGAGCATGGATGTTGGCAGCCCGGCGGCCTAGCCGGAGGAAACCCCTGCAGTACTAATGGAGTATCAGTCGAGCCGGGCTGCGGGATCCTCACGCCAACAAGGCACCAGATTCCTCTGTAAAGATTTTTACGCCGGCCCAAGTCGCAATCACTCGAGAACGCAGGATGCGGATTTCCCAACGAGCAAAGCTACGCTGGGTTTGCATGGATAAGATGATATCGCAATTTGCTAGTTTGCCCGCGTCACCGCGCGGTTTTGGAATTGTGTTGTTTTCCGCTTTTACCTGCCAATCGATTTCGAGCGAAGAGTTTCCTCGTCCATCCTGTCTTCTCTCTCGCACCCGCATGAGACGCTTCGAGTGGGACAGCAGGGTGCCGACGAAACGGCCCGCGTTTCACGAGTTTCCGCCAGGGCAAAGGCGGGCGCGTTTTTCCACGCGGAGAGAAAAAAATGGACTCTTTGAAGTGGAGTGGCTTTGGGTTGCCGAGGACGACGTGGACGGCACTCCGGCGGCCACACCAAACCGAAACGGCCGCCGCGTGCGGTACGACCGGGCGGGTCTGGCCTCGCCCTGGCCTCGCCCCGCCCTGGCGCCTTTTATTTGAATTCCTTTATCAGCTCACCGCCCCCCTCGATAGACTCGCTCGGTTATTTCCCGTTCGGATTGACACAGCGCAACGCTGCGCAGGGCGGTGCAATTCGGCCGCCCCGCCCCCGCCCCCCCGGCCACACTAGCGGCCCTAGCGGCGCGGCGTGCGGATACAATTGCCTGGGAGGTGTGGTGCGGTGTGTGTTTGGCAGCGGCATCAAAGGCTTCCTCCGGGAGCCAGTTCAAGGCAGTTCAAGGTGTCGGGGCCGTTCTGGCAACGGCGTCGGCGAGAAGGTGGCGGCGGTGATGGCGGGGAAGGGGAGCGGGAACTTCTCGCTGTTATATTTCCGGCGCTCCGCGTGGGAGGCGTGCGCGAGCAGGCGCCGGCCGTTTAGTTGCAGTTTGAGGCCGCCGGCAGAATTTGTAAATGTTTCACTCTTTCTGCTGGCGGGAGAAGAAAAACCTGCGGTGGGTCTACTTTCACCGAACTTTGGCGGCGCCTTCCCTGCTTGTTGCTTCTTTGCGTTGCCGTACACTCGAAACGCGGCCGAGGGGGAAAGGGCGAATAGGGGTCGGACAGACGACGAGCACCGACTGCAGCCTCCACGACTCTCGCGCCCAGCACATCCTGAACGGCATTCTCTGGCTCGTGTCCCCCGCGTGCCCGGCCAGTGCTTGCTTAACAACGCCCCGTTAAAGTTGGGCCCTCGCCCCTCCGCTGGGGCCCACCTCAGCCGGCCTCGGCCCCACTCGCGACGAGTCCCAGCCGGGCCGCGCGGCGCACCACAAGCCTCTCGACACACTGCCGGCAGACTCACCTTTGACTTTCTCGGCCCGTGATTGGCTGAGCAGCAGAGCCGCGGCCCCGAGCAGCAGGAAGGAGCGCCACATGCTCGCATCGTCTGCAACAACAACACCAACAACAACATCGTCAACGAGGAAGACAAACAGCAACAACAGGGCCGCAGCATCGCCGAGTTCGACGGCGGCCTTCATTTCCTCTTGCCTCCAGTTTGAAAGGGAGGCGGCTATTGATTATTCAGAGGGATCAGAAGTCGCGCTCGCCGGAGAGTGGACGCTCTTTTTCCAAGCGAGCCATCGGCATACCTCGGGACAGTGGATCGCTAACAGCCTACGACATCCAGGGCTGTGTGCCCGCGGTGCCCGCTTGCGCGGCGGCCCGGTCCCCGCGGCGACGCGGGGACTGATCCGGCCGGAGTCAGCGGGTGAAAAGGGGGAAGGGTGGGGGGAAGGGGTACCATAACAATAAAACTGCGCGTGTCATGGGGCCAGCTATTTCTTCGCGGTCCATTACCCGACCGCCCCCATCGCTTGCTGCGGGCTGTGCCCCTCCCCCTCCCCCCTCTGAATTCCAAATATCGGCTCGGCCCCGCCTCACAGTGAGCAACGCGATGTGAGGTGCGCGCTCACACGGCTGTCGAGTTTGAACCGACTGACTCTGTACTCTGCGAAGTGCCTCTCACTCACGCCAGCATTGTTTCGCGCCGCCAAAGCGTTTTTTTCTCGCTGATTATTTTTCTTCCCGGGAATCGGTGCGCTTGTTCAATCATGCATGCCAATCAGAACCACTGCAATGCGCGATGTGGAGCCACCGGCGCGGCAGGGCGGAAAATATTTAAAGGCCAGCGCTCCACGGTGCGACGAGGACAAAAGTGGAAGCAGAACCGATGTTGTTTGAACGCCCAGGCCGCGCGTATGGTCAGAGTGTCAGAGGGACGGGTCTCAGCATCTCGAGAGCAGCAGCCTGAATCCGACAGTTGTTCTCTCTCTCTCCTTCTCTCTCTCCTCTCTCTCTCTCTCTCTCTCTCTCTCTCTCTCTCTCTCTCTCTCTCGCCCTCTCTCTCCCTCTCGCACTTTAGGGGCTTTCCGTGAAGGGTGCGAGAGAGGCAGAGCGAAAAAAATAAACTGCGCGGCAGGCGAGCGCCCGGCGGCCAGGCACAGGCAACACGCTACTCACGGGCGCGTCGTGGCTGCCTGCCTCGCAGGCGCCCTCGCTTGACTTGAGGCTGGACCACGAATGATCGTATTCCATTTCGGGAACGCCACTGCCAATCCTGAGGCTGGATAACCTGCTTTCCCTGCTGTGGCCGCCCTCCACGCTGTGCCCCCTCTCTCCCCGCCCTCCCTGCCGCATTATCCGACACACCAATAACAACCTGCTGCCCTCGTTGTTGTGATCCAGACACACAGGCTTTGTCCGCGACCCAGCGACGCGGTTTCTTTTCACTCTGCGATCCGCGGGACAATCGGCTCGGCCGCACGCACGCACCCACACACGCACACACACACGCGAGCCTACACTGCTTAGCGTAAACACGCCGCTAATCCTGTTCCGCGGCACGGCGACACCATTCAAAATTCATATGCTTCGCAACCAGTGGTGCTTTCTCCGTGCTTGCCTTGGCTGCTTCGGCTGGCGCGCGGCTTTCAACAAATTGGAGCCAGCCCGTGTGACGCTGACGGAGCGCACGGCGTGGGGGAGAATGAACCGGAGCAAAGTCCCCGCGCGCTGGCGCAGTGCTTGCGCAGTGCTTGCGCAGTGATTGCCCTCGGCGCGTGCGATGGTCGCCCTTGAACTACTCGGGCTGCTTGGACTTGCCGGCGAGTCGGCGGCGAGGGCGTGGCGTGCGGCCCCGGACCGCCCCGGCCGGCCTGCGGAGTCTGCTCCCAGACCATCCCAGACCCGCTCAGCATGAACGACATCCACTTGGATTAAGTAAATGGCTTCCGATGGCCCTGCTCTCCGAGCACCGTGGCTTGTGCGGAGCAGCGGTCTCACCCCGCCCCGCCCCGCCCCGCCCCGCCCCGCCCCGCCACACAAACGGAACCAAGCTAGCTGCCGGTTTGCTCGGGGCACGCATCTCGAGCTGGCGCGCCCTCCCCCTCCCCCTTCCTCCTCCCCAGGGTGCAGGCTCGGCAAACCAGGCAAACCGAACCTGCGGCCCGTAACACGCCACTTAGCCCCTCGAATGGCGGCCAGGCCCTCGGCAGCCCCCGGCCCGCCTCGGCCACTCCGCGGGAACCTGGGTAATGAAGTCGTAGAGTGAGGCTGAGAGAAAATTTGACGGCGCGGCGTAGTGGGTGGGGGCGGGGGCGGTCACCCGAACTGCGTACCGCGCGCTGGCTGGGGGCGGCCCGGGCCCGAGGGCGGCCTGGGCCCTGGCCTGGTCACTGTGCGCTGGGACGGCCCGCCGAGCGGCGAGGCGGCGCGGGGTTGGCTAATTTTTCGCAAAGTTTGCTACTGAACGCGAAACGAAACAAAAGCAGTCCGTTAACAGCTCGCCACTAACTCGCAACGCGGCGCCGCGCGACAGTTCGGCCCAAGTTGAATCGGTTGAATCGGCGGGAGGGCCGTGGCCGACCACGGAAAGCGTGTGGCGCTCCGCACCTCCGCCAACTTTACGGTGCATCGCCACCAAGGGACGTCGGCCGATTATTTGTGAGCCCGGGTGTAGCAAGCACGGCCGAAATTCGCGCATGCATGCGAAAGTAACCGAGGCCTTGCATTTTGATCAGACAAAGGAGCCGCGTGGGGGGCGATGCGTTTGCCACCTTATCTACTGGACTGTACACTGCCCAGGATGAAAGGCTCCCGTGCCAGCCCGGTGGACGGCAATCTGGTCTGGTGGGCGGGAATCTGTTAGTTTCTCTCTGTTGGAAAGCCCAGGGGTACTCTTGATAATGAGTCGAGCGAGACGAGAGCAGAAAAAGGATTTGTTACGAACGCTGGTCAGCGAGATTCAGTCAACTACTGTATGGACAGGCGGGTGGGTGTTTTATTTTGACGCGGCGGTCACGCTGGGATTCCAGGAACCGCGAACTCACGTTCCTGGATTAATTACCAGAAAGCGCCTGTTGAAAACGTTTGGGAATTTTTGAATTTGCGGCACAATTGGAATGGAAAAGAAACGGAAATCAGCCGACTCGGGTCATCTCCGAAACGGCCTCCTTGTTCGCGTGCGCAGCGAAGGGAAGCCCGCACATTCCAAGACGAGAAATGTTGCCCGCGTCGTCGTCTAGCTCGCCTTGGCCGGACCGACGACAAAGGGTCCAAAGGAGGCAGCCTCCAGCAGCCTGCCCGCCGCCCCTTGGACTGTCCCGGGCCGTCCGACGGCAGGGGAAAAATTCATAGGCAGGGATGAAGCCGAGGCAATCGAACCGCACGCACACTTCACAACGCTTCGCCCCACTTCGCCCCACTTCGCTCTGCTTCGCACAGGGCGCGAGGCGGCCCGTCTGCACCGCGCGGTCCCCGGGGAGCAGGAGGAGGCGGCGGCGGGGACGCGGAAAGAGAGCCAAGGAATAATGAAGATGAACCGGGCAAAGTACGGCGGCAAGTTCGCATGATTTATTCGAAACAGAAAATCAATTAACTGTCGGTGGGTGATACATCGCCAGCCTTCGCAGCGCCGCGAGCCCCGCCCCTGCCCAGCCCGCCCCGCCTCACCCCACCCCGCCACTCCCCACCCCGCCCCGCCGCCGCACAGTCCGTAATTTGGATGCAAAACGGGAGTGGCACGCCGGCACGCGCAGCGATTCGCCGAGGGCAGTTTTTAATCAGAATTAATATTTCGAGGCAGACAGGCCGGGATGAATGGGCGGCGATCATGTCGCTATTCGGGGGTTGCTGTCCAGTGACGCCGGCTCGCTGTCCAGTGGCCTCGGAGGCACTGTCCACTGATTTGGGGTTGTTGTCCGGTGACTTTGAGGCTGTCCAGTGACTTTGAGGGCAGTCCGCTGACGCTGAGGCGCGCTGACGTAGCCTGCCAGCAACTCACCCACGGTGCGCGGTGCGCCCGGCGCCGCGGCGCCCAGCCCGGATTGCAGCACTTGGCCGGCGCCTTCCGGCAAATCCCGCGATAATCCGTCCTCGGCGGGCGTCGCCGAGTCGCCGGGACTTGCTGGGACTGCAGGCAGCTGACGTCGAGGCCACGCCACGCCACCGCCGTGCCGTGCCCTGCCGTGTCTTGCCGCGCCGTGCCGCGCCGTGCCGCCGCCAATCCGCGTTAATAATTCAAAGGACGCCGCGCGGCGGACGGCGGACCTGGTAGACCTGGTGGGCCTGGCAGACCGAGCATTAGGCGGAGATGCGCCGACTTTCAATCGGGAGCACTTCCTTATTCAGCTCCTCACCTGCTCGTCAATTTTCCACAAAACTTTTTTTTCTCTTTTTCGCCTTGGAGCGAGCGTCTCGGCGCGCAGCAGGGTCAGCGCCGCGAGCACCCCGTCGTCAGCCCGCCCCGCCGGCCCGCCTGCCAACGCCACGGCCTCCGCGGCCAGGCAGGGCAGGGCCAGGCAGGGCCGTGCATTGTGCTGCCGGACGGCCCGGACGCCCGGCGGTTTGCTTCCGAGCTTCGCCGCGCTCTCTCTCTCGCACCCCCTCCGGCACACCCCGTGAGTGCGAAAGAGACAGCGGGCCGCCGCAGGACGGCATTAGCTGGGCGGGGCGCGGCGCGCATTGTGCCGGAAGACGGCGGTCTGGCCGCGGGGCGGGGCGGGGCGGGGCGGCGGGGCGGGGCGGGGCGCTCTCGGGGAGCTCGGGAGCTTGGGGGAGGCCAGGGTGCGGGCGGGGCGAGGGGAACCAGCGGGAACCAGGCGCACCGCACAACGCCACATTGTTTGACCATTTAGCAGGCGGCGTATTTCATTTAGTGGAGAGTGGCGCGGCGTGCAGCCCGTGTCGCACCCCTTTTTTGCATGCAGGGCGAGGGAGGGGGGACGCTTGCACGCCCGGATGTTGAGGCATCAGCGACGGCGTCCTTTTCGCGTCAACTTGACAAGAAGATGCGGGATTGTTTGATGCTTCCTGCTGCGTTTCTTGGTTTCTTATTGTGTCGTGTTGCGCCTGCACCGAGGCCTGCAGCCCTCCCCCCTCGGCATG